AAATCAATTTGAATTTTGTGTTTTAGATTTTTCTAATCTGAGAAATCAATCCCGCAGCTGGCATCGTTATTTTTAGCACGTCTAAAATTATTGTTAAATTTTAAATAAACAAATAATATTTTTTGAATAAAATAAGGTTTTTTATAAAATTAAAGAGTGTATTTATTGAACTAAAAAAATGCAGATTAATATAATCCATAGGAATCGTAAAAAAAATTCTAGAAAATAGCTTCATTTTTAAGCGTGTAAAGTGGTATGAACCCTTAAATTCCCTGCTATTTTCCGGTTACTAGCCATCTTCATACACACAAATACATACAACATTTCTTATTTATGTCCCTTCTTCATTTTATAAATTGTTAGTTTAGAAAATAAACCATTTTCATACTTTTTCAATTAAGTTATACAATTTTTCTTTAACTTATATATTTACTTAATCAAAGTATTTTAATAATTTACCTCATCTGATTTTAATTCAGTTATAACTAAAACTTGTAGCAACATTGTCTGAATACTCATATATTGTAATAAGCTGGAAGAAGTATTCATAATATTGAGACAATGTTGGCAGTGTACTTCTTGTTTATTAATTTAATCAATTTATAAATGTACAAATACATTATTAACTATTGTCATATTTGTTTAGTGGTTAACATTTTATTAAGGGGTTACGTACACTTAGGATTTTCAAAAAATCGATTTTTTTTAATGCATTTTCTAAAAGTAAACCATTTCAAAAGCATTCTCTGAAAATTTGAGACAAATCGGACTATTATTTATGGAGATATAGAATTTTGAATTTTGAATGGAGCCGTCTCAGCCGTTTCTGTGGCCAGGCGGCGGTATTCAAAACTTTGAACCCGTTTTTCTCAAAACCATGTTTTGAGAGTCGGTGATCACTGTAACTGGAGAACGGCTTTACCGATTAGTTTGAAATTTTTACCACTTATTTGTTATATAATTGGCCGGTACTTGAACGAAGGATTTTATTTTTTGACAATAAATTTTTTTTGTATAGCCGAAAATATGACTAAAATTTTGGTCAAAAAACAATTTTTGACTTTCAACATCCGCCATTTTGCGAAAAATCAAAATTTTTCACATCCCTTCGTTCAAGTACCGCATTATATCATTACCTAACGATTTCTTCTTCACGATTTGATTTTAGATGATCTAGTCAAGAGATAGCGTGATCACCGCGAAACCATTTTTATTTAAGGAGCTCACGCAAATGTTCTATCATTCGCATATTTCTTTATATTTATAGACTATCATTTCAGAAAAATTTCTTGAAATATATATATTTTATGTGGAAGAAGATTTGTTATTAATTATTTTAATGTGTGGCCACAAAAAATTCCTAAAAAACAACTTTTTTTTGAAGCTCTAACTGTACGTAACCCCTTAAGCAAACCATTTTTCTGCGAAGATAATTAGTGATTAAAAATATTTTCATATTTTCCAACAGCAAGAACAAAAATTTGCATTAAGTTCACTTAATCTGTCAATCATCAGCAAACAAAAATATGTGATGAGAATGTAATCCTTAAAGTCGTAGTAACTTTAAGAAAAAAAATGGTTTTAGGAAACGTATAATATAGGAACCCAGTAAAAAGGATTTTTCGATATAGCATTTTGGACAATTGAGCAAGCCGTCTGCTCAATTGTCCAAACGGCATTTGGACAATTGGACTGGTTGCTCTATTATCCGATGCATTGGGTCCAATCATCCCAAATGTTTTTCGTGGCTAAAAAACTGCTGAATTAAGAAAAAAAGTACTGAAATGTTACAGAAACTTTAGAGAATTCTTAATTCCAGACAAATACAGAAAAATCAGGCATAAAAATACCTTGAGTGAGGAAAAAGAACTAGATTTCTAAAATATCACTTTTTAACTGACAGTGCAATGCTGTACTTGGAATTTAGTTAACAAAGAAGTGAGGAATCTGATAAAGAGAAACACTTCATTATCCACTCTCGATACTCCTCATGTGGTAATATATGTATAATTGTAGATTTTTAATAATAGTGTATTGACAATAATATTTTATTTTGCTGAATTATCTCTTTTTTAAAATGAGACTCCGAAATGTACAATATATTACCACATGAGGAGTATTGAGAGTGGATAATGAAGTGTTTCTCTTTATCAGAATCCTCACTTCTTGCCAACTAAATTCCAAGTACAGCATTGCACTGTCAGTTAGAAAGTGATATTTTAGAAATCTTGTTCTTTTTCCTCACTCGAGGTATTTTTATACCTAATTTTCCTGTATTTGTCTGGAATTAAGAATTCTCTAAAGTTTCTGTAACATTTCAGTACTTTTTTTTTCATTCAGCTGTTTTTTAGCCACGAAAAACATTTGGGATGATTGGACCCAATGCATCGGATAATAGAGCAACCAGTCCAATTGTCCAAATGCCGTTTGGACAATTGAGCAGACGGCTTGCTCAATTGTCCAAAATGCTATATCAAAAAATCCTTTTTTACTGGGAAACAGGATAAAGAACACTAATAATGCGCAACGGTCTAGGACAACTGCGAGCGAAGCGAGCTATTTGCGCGCGAAGCGCGCAAAAATCTTCGGAGCGCGCAGCGCGACGACCAAAATTCGCGCGCCCCGAGGCGCGCTGAATCTTGCGAGCCCCCCGCGCGAAGCGCGGATGAGAATGTGTCCGCCCGAAGGGCGGGCAGATTTTTTTTTCAAATGTAATGTTTACACACATACGGAATGACGTTTTTCAAAAATGTTATTTTTAACTCATGAGGTAAAATAACATAAAGATGTATCAAAAAATCGAACTCGAAAAATTTTGGTATTACAATACGTACTCTATGAAAAAGTAATTATCTTTTTCACGTTATGAATTGATGTTGGACTGATATTAGGTCATAGAAAAAAATAATCAACTACCCATAGTAAAGAAACATAATTAAATTGAATGGAAATAAATTAATAAATAGCTTCAGTGAATCCCGTTTAGCAACAAATATGAATTGGAGCTATCTATGTTGCAATTCTTGAATTGACAAACCTTTTATTCGTTTCAATTAAATGAGCTACTTTGACTAGCTTAAATATTTTCTAATTCCTCCACACTAATTCAATAAACGAGTTAGCCATTTCGTTTTATTTGTAATTCATTTGTAATAGTAGTGTAAATGGAAGTAAATTGAATCAAATATACAGGGGAGATTCAGTGATTCCAAATGATTCACGTTTTTCACCATAAATTCTTAATACATTTCAATTCGCGTGAATTTGTTTTCGTTTATTGCGTACTGTAGTTTTCCTGATTTTTCATTCAAATGCTTATATTTTATTAAATACTAAAGTATTTTTTTTAATCATGAATTAATAATGTAATTGAAAGAATTGTTGCTATTTATTATTTCAAAAAAATCATAATATAAGATCGTAATCTTAAAGGGTCTACCCACTTTAGACGCGCTAAAAAAGACTATGTTTGTTAATTTTTTTCAGGTTTAAATTATAAATATTGTCATTTGAGGTTTTACACATAAATAAATACTCTCGAAGTGCAAGAAAAAACCCAGTAACGTTTTTTAAATAATGCTTTTTATTTAAAAATAATTAATGAAAAATATTAATATAAAAAATCGGGTGTGCGCCGTTGATGAAATTTTTGAAGTAATTGGTCAGAAACAAAAAATGCAAACGATATTAGATTCAGCACGTTAATAACTATAGCGCATATCATATGATTTTTATTTTTTGCAAAATTGACAAAACGGTGGCTATTTTAGAAAAAACATGTTCATATTTTTTTTCCACCATTTTGGGTCACAAAAAAATATTTAAAATCAAAATTTTTTAAATCTCTTGATATGCGCTGTAGCTATGAACATACATATGTTGAATATAAAACCTTTTCGATTTTTTGTTTTAAACTATCCATGCCCAAAATTTCATCATCTGCGTACTTTTTTGAAAATCTTTTTATAATTGTTTGTAAATAAAAACATGTATTTAAAAAAATTGAAACTTTTTTCTTGCACTTCGAGAGTGTATTTATAAATGTTTAAAACGTCACATGTCATTACTTTTAGATCGTTTAATGTGGGTAGACCCCTTAACCCTAGAAGGAGTAACTGGGGTGTCTGGACACCCCACTCATTATCCAAGGTACGCCCCTGGCTTGACTAATAATTTTTTTTACTCTCGAACCCTATTCATAATTTAGTTTGAATGTCTAACTGTTGATACCTGCAATGTCGACAAAAGGTTTGCTCTAGGAAGAGCTCTATCTCCTGTTAAAATACGTATGGGGTGTTTGGACACCCCAGTTACTCCCTAGCGTTACAAAAATTATCAAAATAATTGATTTAATTTTTTTGTAAATATCGCTTTCAATCAGTTAAAATCATCCTATAAAGTATAAATTGATAGGTTATGCATCAAAAAGTTGTATTTTATAAAACAGAAACATTTTTATACAAAAATTATATATTTATGAAAAATATATATTCTCTATTTGTAACTACTTATGAAATTTGAGTTAAGGTTTATTAAAAATTCCTGTGCTTTCTCTACAGTAAGAGATTAAATTCTAAAACTTGTTTTTTAAGTAATACAAAAATGCATTTTTGCCTAAAAGTGTATCCATTGAACCTTAAAAATCCCAAAAAAATTTCTAAATTAGTCAAATTTTTAAGAAACAACAACATTTTTGTGTAAAAAGTCAATTTTACAATTTTTTTTTGTTTTTACATTTTTTTGCAAAATTCTTTTAATTTATCAAAATATGAATAATTTTATCGTTTTCCTTACTAAAAATTTATTACAATTCACTCCAGATAATTTATTTTTTTATGCCAAATATAAATCTTTTTTAATAAGTTTAAAGTTTAGGGAGTCCGGACATCCCAGTTACTCCTTAGAGGGTGATTAAGTTCACGTACTACTTCTAGGGTAAAAAAAACATTGTGCAAATAATATTAGATAAATAATAATTAAAAATTTATTTTCTATTGCAGTTGATGATGCAAGCGACGAAGAAGATGGCGTGGTTGATCCGTAGTTTCGTTGATCCGTAGTTTCGTTGATCCGATATTCGTTGATCCGATATTCGTTGATCCGTACAAAACATGATTGTTAAAAATCATTTTACATATGATTGTTAAAAATTATTTTAGTCTAATAGACAAATATATTTTTTAAAAGTTTCATTTAAAAATTATTAATAGAAACAAAAAAAAATTCAAAGTTAAAAAACTAGTCGTCACGTAAAAGTATTAGTAATGTCAGTGATATTTTATTACTATTTAATAATCTGTGCTTATGAAACGCCAAAAATGAAAAATAATAAATGATATTTAAAAAGTGTTTCTTAGAATAATTTCTCTGTTATTGTTTTCAAAGTTTTGTTCAAAACTTATTATAAAAAATAATAAAAATTTCTTAAATATTTCATGATTATAAAAAACAGTGTTTCATTTCTTTTCTATCCCAGATGCGGTAACATATCTCAATGTTATTTCATAAATGTGAATTTTTGAATTACTTTTTGTAAAATACTTTAAACCTTAGGAACCGTAAAGACTACAAAATTAGTATTTATGTTAAAAGTTTTGAATTAAAAAAGTAAAAAAAAATATCTTATAAAGATAATATAATTAATATCAGAATACAATAATTATTAGGATTTCTTTACTTGAGAGGAGTTTAAAGTTATTGAAAGATAGAAAATCTGTATTTTATATTAGAGTCAAATAAGTATTAAGGTATAAGTATTAAGCCATAAGTTATAAAAAGAACTGTAAATCAGAAAATTTTATGTTAGTCAGGGAAAATTCAGTGTAGTGTAGTTTTATATTTAGACTTTTTTTGTATAATATTTGATAAACTAATAATTTTAATTATCTTATGTTTTTCATTATAAATAAAACTAAAAAAGAATTATTAAATTTTAAATTAATAATGCAGAGCGTTAAATGAGTAAAAAATTTGCCAATCATGGAAATTAAAAAATTAGTCAGAAAATGTATTAAAAATGATATAGTATTAAAAATGATTTAAATAAAAAAATCAGATTTTTAAAAAAAATCGGATTGTTTTGATATCCATGTGAGATAAGCAATTAAATAATATATGAACATTAATAAATAAAGCAATAAATTATAATAATATAATAATTGCAAAATAAAAGCAGCATATAAAAAAACTTACATGAGATCCCATATAAGATCCCATATGGGATCTCATATGGCAATCCTATGGGTCACGTCCCATGGGTTCATCCATATGAGATCCCATGTGAGATCCCACATAGCATCCCATATGAGATCCTATATGGGATCTTATATGGGTTTTTTCAGTAGGGTAAACTTAAATAAACCTCAATGAAGATAAGAAAAAATACTTTAAGTAATATTTAAAAAAACGTCAAAAAGTTTGAAAAACAAAAACTTTGCAAAGTGTAAACAAAAATTAGTTCAAAGTTCCAGTGTTACAGACTGATTTTTTTGCCTTCCAAAAATTTTTATAAAAAACCCTACAATTATTTTAAATTATTGAATATTATTCAGGGAACAAGTTAGAAATTTTTTTCTACACTTTTCAACGGAAAATCATACTAAATTTGTTAAGAGTTTAAGGGTTAACACCACTCTAGAGGCAGAAAAAGAGACCTATCTTTGATGATTTGTTTTTAGAAAAAGAAAAATGGAATTGGATTTATTTTTTGATGGTTTATTAAATACATATTGAAGTGTGGAAAATATTTTAATTTTTTAATTATATATTTTAATATATATATATATATATATATATATAATAAAATGGCAGCGGTAAATTTCATATTGAAAAATCAACAACTGTTTTACGGCCGTAATATAGTTTTTAAAAAAGTTTTAGTTTTGGAATAAAAAACAAAATTTTATAATCTATATACAGATATACTATAAATTTTGAAAGTAAATGTGTATTTTTTAATTGGATGTAAACTTTATTTTTTTAAAACAATTTACTATTTATTTATTGGCAAAAAATATATTATTTCAATCAAATAGCCCAGCTGAAAAAAATCGTCTGGATTTTCCCATGGACTTTTCAGGTACACGGAGAAACTTTTAATCCCTTGCGGATTGAGATCACTGTATTGTCACCGACTAAACGGTGATTTTACGGTGAAAAGTAAATAAAAACTGTAAAACATTAAAAAAAGACAAAGTAAAATAGAAAAATTGAAAGAGGACAATTTATTGAAGAAATTTGTATTAGCACTTTATTAATAAATATTCATTATTAATGTGAAAATAATATTTAAAGTTGAAGTCATCTCCGGTGATATTTTACACTGTCACGGTGATTTGAAAAATACTCGTGTAATTTCACTTTGTTCATACCTAAAAGTGTATAAAATTAACAGCCATTGATATATAGAACACATTTAAAACGAAAAATATCTAATTAACTTTGTAATTATAATAAAAATAAATGAAAAAAGTAAAAAGTTTGCTTTTGGGTGTCATACGAAGAATGAGTAATTTGCTTTGTAGATAATACGTGGTGCACATTTACCATAAGAGCTCGGTCGATAAAATGAAAGTGTTACCATAAAACAAATTTCGACGTTCTTTCCTCCAGTAGATGGCGGAATGAAAGAATTCTAAAATACAAATTTGTATTATTCTGTAAAGTGTTTAATTTAAGTTTTTAATATTGCATTCAAAAGGTAAGTATGATAATATTATTTATGAATAATTCATGACATGGCATTTATTATAAATTCTAAAATAATTAAAAGTAAATTGCATTTGAAACAATTGAATAACATAATTATTCAGTTGAACAATGATAAATAAAATAATTTTTTAACCTAAAATAATTTCACATAATTACAAATTTAAAAAATCAATATTCTTTAAACATTACTCGTTCACAATGAATTTGTTTATTTTCTTATAAAAAAAATTAAAAAGTTATTTATTCATGATGGCGGACTTACTAATTCTTTTATATCGCTCTAAAGTTATGAAAATTAATATTTTTAAGGTTTTTTTCTTAACAATAATAAATTTGTACTTTTTTATCAAAATACTAAACAATTAAAAATTCAAGATGGCGGACTAACTAATTTTTTTATTTTTGCTTTAAAATTATGAAAATTAATATCTTAAAGTATTTTTTCTTACCAATAATAAATTTGTACTTTTTTCATCAACATACTAAACAATTAAAATTTAAGATGGCGGACTAACTAATTTTTTTATTTTTATCATGGTAAAAATAATTTACAAATTCTCAGAAAATAATAAATTTATACTTTTTTCATCAAAATGCTAAAAAATTCAAGATGGCGGACTATCTAATTTTTTTAATTTTGCTTTAAAATTATGAAAATTAATATCTTAAAGTATTTTTCCTTGACAATAATAAATTTGTACTTTTTTCATTAACATACAACATACTAAAAAATTAAAAATTCAAGATGGCAGACTAACAAATTTTTTTAAGGACCCTAAAGTTTTTTTTTTATTTAAAAACTTTTCTGCAATAATCTTGTTCAGAGTAGTAAATACAACAAATATCAATCAAAAAATTATCGAAATTTTAATATTGGGGGTAAAAAACAACCCCTTTCCAAATATCACATATATTATACGTAATAATGAAATACAACATATCACTATTAGGCGTTCGAAATTCATTCCAAAATCAACGCCAAAAATTGTCAAAAAATATACCAAACAATTTCCCATAGTTTAGAACCGGCGGTCGAACCCCCAAAAACCACCCCTAATTGAAAACCGATAAAAATAGTATATAAGTGTCCAAAACTGCCAAAAGGCGTGCGAATTTCTTTCTCAAAGTATTTTTAAAAATTCCCCAAAAATATACCAAGCATTTTCCAAAGGTTAGAACACGAGGACCACCCCCCAAAAAAAACCACCCTTAATTAAAAACCGGTAAAAATAGAAAATATGTGTAGTTGCAAGAGTTGAGCTCTTATCGAAATTCTTGAAAAAAGTTTAATCGTTTTGATCATAAAAATATATTAATGAAATGTTTTACTATCGAGAAACAATTTATTTATATGTATTTAATTTTAAAATGTATTAAACTTTTTTTAACTTAAAAACAATAATTGTCAAAGGAAAACACACTTTAATACATTTTTCTTCACTAAAAATAAATCAGATTAAATTTCCTGTTAAGAGAACGGCAATAAATACGTAATAATGCATAAAATACTTTACAGGGTTGCCACGCAACCTGAAAAACCTGAATATGTCAGGGAATTTTATAAACTTTAAAAAAACCTGGAAAAGTCAGGGAATTTTGATCGACATCCTGAAAAATTGTTATTTTTTAAAGTTTATTCTTGAAATCTATTTTTACATAAGTATTTAAAAATTAATTAAATTTTAAAAAAGTTGCGTTTACAATTTTCATAAGTACAGATGTTTTTTAAAAGATTTTAATTTGAAATTTTGTAAAATTTTAATTTTGAATGAATTTAATTAGAAATCGTCTTAAAGAACGTGGATTTTTGAAAAATTTAAATTATTCCAATTCTTCTGAAATTAGTTAAATTATTTAATATATATTTTTAATTGATTATTAAAAATAATGGATTTATAGAAGAATTTTAATTAAAAACACTAAAAAAAATTGAATTTTGAAGTAATTACAAATAATTGAGGGTCCCTATCAAAGAACCGGTTATAAGTTTTTGAGACTCAAAATTCTCGACCTCTAAATAAAAAAGGATTTTAAATTTTAATTTCTTGAAAACAATTTATATTGGTATAAAGATTACCCAAATGTTTCTCAAGAAATTGGGATTAAAAACAGTTTAATTTTTTATTTACAGGGCAATGATTTCGAGCTTAAAAAACTTATAACCGGTTCTTTGATATAGGGACCCTCGATTGCAGAAATTCAATTATTTTCAAAAGTATAGTGAAATTCTTCTGAGAAATTCAATTATTTTCAAAATTTTTAATAAAATTCATGGCAAAATTTCAATTATTTTCAAAAACTTTTATCAATTCAATAATTTTTAACAAATCTACTACTTTAATAAAATTTTTTAAAGGAATTTAATTATTTAAAAATAATTTTAATAAAATTTAATCTTAACATTTCATTATCTTTTTAAATAAGAAAACTCATCGCAGACTTTCAATTATTTTTAATACAATTTTAATAGAATTCCTCGAAAAATGAAATTATTCTTAAAAATTTGATTAAAATTCCTCAAAGAAATTCAGTTATTTTTAAAACCTTTGCTACAATTTATTTATTAGAATTTAAGTATTATTTTCTATAAAGTTTTAATT